TGGATCAAACTTACTAGCTGCTGCCAGGGAGAATGATGGAGCTGTCCCGGTAAAGACGTGTCTCAGAAGCCCTATAGGGGGTTGCTGGAGGTTGCCAGCAATGAGTTTTTTGTTGTCGTTAATAGTAAATTGTTGATACACGTTAGCTGTCACGTGGCACCAAAATGCATTTCTGTGACTTAAAACCAATGCCAGTATGAAGGAACTTGGTTACATGAAGCAACATTGGTCCGCGTACAAAAAGAAGCCCGTCTGAATTACATGTCAAGAGTGAAAGAGGATGAACAATCAAGCTCGGCCCTAGTCCAAGACTGCAGTACAAGGACTACTTGCACAGCATTCCTAGTGCCCCTGCCATAGCACTTGACTCAGGATTGCGTGCTTGGAGCAACTGCTGCCACCCGTCAGATCAACCAGCAGTGTCAGCTGGAGCAAGGCCCAAGCAATCAGGTTTATGGCAAATACTTGAATGCTTTGAAGCACAGGTAAGCATTTTGATTATGATAATTCTGTATAGACACGTTTCTAAAAATCGTATTGCTTGAAATGGAAATGCTAAGAATATAGTTAATGAATGTAGTTCATTTTTTTTACAGAAAGAAAAGAACTCCAGGGATGCTTGCAGTGATTGAAAAGGAAAATACTGAGTGTTATCTACTGATACTAGGAAGGGGTGTCCTCTGAACAATTACAAGTTTGTAAAACTATTTCAAAAATAGAGAGTAGTGAAGATTAGTTGGCATGACAGTAATCTTGAATCCTCTGAAAATACTCGTCTTGAAGCACTCACAAAACTTGAAATTTGTATGGAATTACATTACTGCCATCAACCACGTTCAGTCCCGAAACTGAGGAGGAGTTTTTATGTGCTACCAGGCCCTTGATTTGGGTGGTCGGGTCACCCAAAACCCAACTTACTTTTCCTCCAATCTTAAGTATAAAAGCAATTGCCTAGCATTGTGTGTAAATACAATGAAGACCTCACCCATAGGAACAAGCCCAGTGTCAAATTGGGGCCAGTGATTGCTTTATCCCAATTGAACTTTTTTTTTTTTGCATGTGGGGTGGGGGTGGGGAGGTGCAATTCAAATTGTTATATACCAAAAGATCCATTCTCTTGACTGTATTAGCTTTGAATGGATACTGATTTTAATAAATCATGCCAAGATGTGTATTTGAGTGTAACTCTGGAAGAAGACTTTTTAAAAGCCATTTAAAGATGCATCTGCCTCTTTTCTTCTAGGTCCCCAATTAGCACAGTATCAAAGAATGTGTCTTCTAGAGAGGACCAGCCCACACACCAGTTGTTCAACTGGTGAACAAGAGAACAGTAAGCCAGCCGTTATGTTCTTGGACAAACAGGCTGCTTGACCTTTGTGAGAAAACTCTGGCAAGTTTAGGTAGGTGTGGCAGAGAGCGGGAGGCTGGGGGAAGTCCCTTGGCCATGTGGGGACTTGCTCAGCACCTCTGCCTTCAGAGGAAGCTGATTCTCTACCTGTTGGTTACCAGCAGGAGAGTGCCACTTCCCACGTTTGCCTTACCTATCCAGAAGCACCCAGTGGGGTCATCCGTTCTACGTGTAGTAATGCCAGCCCTTCAGAAGAACAGACACCTGGCCCTGTTAGGTAAGAATTGGGCTGCTAACTGCAAGGTCAACAATTCAAACCCACCAGCCGCTCTGCAGGGAAAAAAATGTCGCAGTCTCCATCATAACAAGTTAGTCTTAAAAACCCTGTGGAGCAGTTTCACTCTGTCATGTAGGGTCACACTATAAGTTGCAATACGCCAGCAGTTCTCAACCTGTGGATCATGACCCCTTTGGGGGTCGAACAACCCTTTCACAGGGGTCACCCAATTCATAACAGCAAAATTACAGTTATGAAGTAGCAACGAAAATAATTTTATGGTTTTGGGGGGTCACCACAACATGAGGAACTGTATGAAAGGGTGGCAGCATTAGCAAGGTTGATAACCACTGGAATACACAGTGATGAACAGCTCTTGGGCTTAAATATTGCCTTGCTTGTGGGGTGTGAACAGTAAGATGGGAGTGTCCAGTGTGGCGGAGCTTTCCCAATTGCAACTTGATTTGGCTGGATTTCAGGTCTCCCTGGGTCCCCCTCATTGGTGTGTAACCTGTGGATGTTTCCTCATGGCAGTGGGCCCAGCACAAGACAGGCAGGTGAGCAGGCAGTCAGAAGATTTGCTGCATTTGCAAAGTGTTTATTGACGCTTACAAGGGTCATAATGAACGCCCCCCCCACACACACACACACACTTTTAATATCACAAAAGCAGCTCCAATTTTACCGAGGACAACATCCGTTAATTTCAAAATGGAATGAATAGGTTGAGAAGGGCCATACTCTTCCTCTCTTCCCAATTTGCAAAGGTAGGATTCCTCAAAGACAATGTTCAAACTGATTTGACAGTATCAAAGGCATCTTATGTAAAATGAATAAAATCAAACTGTTACATTAGAGATGGGCTGGGGTGCTTGCCCCCCTCCAACCTACTTGTGCCCACCCTACTTGTGCCCCAAGGAAACCACTGCTTCAGGGAAACTGGGCCGGTAAACTTAGAGGCCTGTATTCTACATCAGCTTTGTTTAAGATGCCGATGCAACCTTCTGTTACTCTTTCAGACTGTGCTTTTGTCTAAGGCCTGCATAGCTAAGAAATGGCTTCCAATCCCTCTCTGTGTTAAAAGCCATACAAGTGACCCTGTTCAGAGTGGTCATCTGGTATTTATTTCTTCCCTTTGCATGATGAGAGAGCAGATCAGGAAAACATTCTGTAAATTCTAGTCAGGTGTCCATCCTTACGGTTTTCATTGGAGGGCTTTCACAATAGCAAGCCACCATTTTTGTGTTACACATGTGATTTAATTGGATATACTTTGTTATATGATACATTTTTTAGGGTTTGTTTTTTAATAAATGAGTTTTTATAGTGAATTAAGGTGGGGAGGACTTACATGTCAGACCATCAGCTCTGTTCAGCATTTCAACCTCCGCATCAACATCCCCACTCACATTCTCCCACTCTTGCACCTCCCTGATTTCTCCCTGTTAGGAATCTCTCTTCCTGTTCACTGGAGACAGTACTTGTCAACCTTCTAATTTGTTGCTTCATTTGTCCCTTGCCCTCCCTCTCTTGGGAACCTCCAAGGTGTTTTCTTTTTGATATGCAAGTCTTTGTCTCCGTTTTATCCTTCAAGCAGGCTCTCACAATATTTGGCCTATTATAATTGACTAACTTCACTCCAGGTCCATCCATACTTCCAGCACTGTTTTTCAGCAGTGCCTAGTCTTCCATCGCGTGTGGACCAAAGTTTCTTTATCCATTCTACTGATGGGCATCTGGGTGTTTCTAACATCTTGCTGTTGTGAACAGTTCTGTGACGCACATGGGAATACTTAATGTCTGTTCGTGTTACAGCTCTTATTTTTTAAGGTATGTACCCAACCAGAGGTATTGCTGGCTCGTGGGATTTCTGTTCTCATTTGAAATGGGACTATACCACTTTCCACAAGGGTTGTAGGTACTCTATTTTTTAATGTCCATGTTTTGTGACATACCTTAAAACAAATGAAGAGACGAAACAAACCCTGATGTGCCCTTTGCCT